GTGGTTACTTATTACTTAATACTTTTAAGACGTATTTTTGACCGTTTCTCATTCAATAAAAGGTTGACATTTTGACATATGAGTGTAAAATTATATTTAAAGTAAAACAATAAATATTGTTTACTATTTTTTATGGCGCATAGATATAAAATAGCATATAAATGCAATACTGCTATACGTCAATGAAAAGTTGACATATACCTGCAAAAGTGTTTTGAATTTTTATAAAACACTCAACCTAGCTATCTAATACTTGTTTGAGATCGACCGGACTGCAGTCGACTAGTCCAAAAAAGTGTGAATATATGATGTTATATTAGTTTTAAACTAATCACAACACTACAAACCTACTAGTACTACATTTATTGAGGACGTTACAGAAGGAATATATTTAATGTAGTCCGAGGAGTCCTCGCGTGCTAAGATGGCGTTTATCTTGTCGTATATGAATATCACAGAGAATAATTTAACCAATTTATCAACAATTTTATTATGAAAATGCCGAATTGTTGCCAATTTGTTTTAAAAAACCGGCGCGATTCGCGGATTGTTATCAAATTTGGAGACGAATTGCCGAATTACAAGCAATTACAGTATAGAAATTGAGCAGCTATCAGGAGATCGTAGTGAATGTAACCAAGACTGCAAGACTACTATCATCTATCAGGTCAACAATATGAGGAGAGGATCCGAGGGAAGCTTGTTCCTTGAATCATTTGAAATTGATGGTCTTGGTGGAGCTGCAAAGGAATCAAGCTTATATTTATAGGTAGAACTTGATATCACTCACGGAGATTTACAATTAATACAATAAATTGTTACACTTTTTAATCCATTTTTCATTTCTCAATCCGGAACTGCAACTGTTCTGAATCCCAGATTTGGTGTATTTTGGACCCTGAATGATGCATCATTCCGAAACTTAATTTGTGTAACTAACTTTAGCTTTGGAGGATTATTCGGCCATCACAATACACTCAGTACGTGAATAACTTTCAGTTTAACACGTTCTCTAGCTGTGGCGTAACGAAGGGCCCGCCGACCCCGGTGGTACTACTACTAGTACTACTAGTAATAGCAAAACTGCGCGTTTTGCTCTAGAAACACAATTTTTAAAAGATTTGTAAGCAGTCATCACTTGCTTCAGATTCGTAGATTATTTGTAGTAATTTAGGTTACGAACAACAAAAACGAAAGTAATAATTATGGTAAAAAAGGGTAAGAAACAAAATGATTAACAATCCAATTACCACAAAATACACTTCCTAATTACTCTGACTTATAACGCCCTACATCTACTGTAAAACACACGTCCTTACTCTACCCTTACTTATCACCCTCGTTAACCGTCTCTAACGGAGTCTTACCCTTAAACTACACTTACATAACACTGCACTTTTAGCCCTCGCTGACCGTCCTTATATCAGGCCCAAATCCACTATAGTTCATTCTCGCTCTACCTGAGCCCGATTGTTGTTGACACGAACCCACTCGTGTTGGATTAACCCGTGTTAACCCTGGCTACAACACAGCCTATTCCTGCTCTCCTGAGTTAACCAATGTTGACTCTCCCTACGCTTAAGCCAGACTGCTCATTTCCTCCGCACAGTTCCACTAACTACAGTCCACGATAATGCTCTCTCCAGGATCCTAACGTAACAGGTCCTGGCTCCAAAGTGTCCTACATCAATGGCCCTCGATTCGGGCAAACTCAATCTCCCTTTCTGACCTTTCCACCGGACCTTATATAATGTCCTGTCCGTGGTTTTTCACCCGACCTCTCTTACCAGACTCACGTGCCCCTGCTCACACCTTTGGCAGCTGGTCTTATCTCCCACTAAAGCTTCATTGTCCCGAGTCCAGGTGTTACGACTATTCATCTTTTTACCAAAGCTTCCTGTCTGATGACCTCTGAATCCATAGTTTGTTTAGAACTCACATCTATCTTTGACTCTCTATCTACACAAAGGCTTTACGTCTGAGTTCTCCTAGAACCATTGTCTCTCCTCCAGAGTGACATATTTCTCGTCCGTCCAGGTGAGGTCCAACCCACAATCTCCATTGTATTCTCTTTCTCTAACTTTCCCTAACCACAGACCAGAACTGGATGTTCCACTTCCACTGCCTTATTACACAATACTGCCTTATTACACAATACTGCCTTATTACACAATACTCTAAAATCTATCAAATAATCTAGATCAAATAATCACGGCTTACAGATTTTACCGGTGTATCCTCTAAAATCATCTAATTTGTTCAATTTTAGGGAGGGGCGCCAAAAGTGAAAAGGGGAGGAAGCTGGTGGAGGACAAGTATCAATCTGTAGCTGATTTTATGTTTTTCAGAAAACTGGTTCTCTTTTTTGAGCTTTATAGCACAGTGCAGCACACTAGTAGATTAGGAGAACAAAAATTGAACGCACTGCATTTATATAAGTATATAAAAGTTAATCTGTTCGGCTTCTCCTAAGATATACATGGATGCGGAAACAATCGTACCTGGTCAAGAAAGTTGTTAAGCACTTTGCTGCAATTAGCATACCATTACCTGCAGAGTAAGGTATCAGCATCACTGTTTAATTACAGATGAATTTTAATAAGCTGCCAGTATCACTATCATTGTATCAAAAACTCCAATGATAGGTTGCAATGCTGTGATCCTACTAAAATCTTTGAGATTGGCTTGGTGAGGATTTAAAATGGTGTGGGACAATTCGGCGCTGAATTTGTGACATCAACAAAAGAAAATGCTCTAAGTTATGAATGGTAGCTGTGTCATCATAATCATATCAATCCCATCCGACTCCCTATTTATGTACTTTTAAGCAGGGAAACTTGGGGCTGACAAAATATTGTTTCAAATTAATGTAATCAATTGAAATTAGTCAGTTTACCAAGTTTATCCCGGTCCCTAGTAAAACGATAATCATTATAAACTTTTACACGTAAACTTTCACTCTTCTTTTAAATATTTCACCAGTAATAGTATCAACTGCATTAATGGAAAAGTAATGTTCCCAAAAAGAATTACCGGGGACAAGACTTGAACTTGCAGTTGCACACCTTGCGGCGTCCGAACCTTATTCGGATGCGTCTACCAATTCCGCCACCCCGGGGATGTTTTGGGTACTATCTAGATCTATATATACCCAGGTTTAGATAAGATAATTGGATATTGTGTAATTGTTTATCTTGTTAACAATGATATCTGTCTTGTTAACAATGATATTTTGACATCATTAAACGAGTAATAGGATAAAAACACAAATTGCAACAAAACGAACATTGCCAACCATCGTTGAGTATCGAAGATATGATGCATGTAACACAAATTATTTCTGATTCAAATCATTGTAATTTGTATCTTTCCTCCCTAAAATTTGTATACAAACATGAGGAGTTAATTGGGTCATACATCTGGATCCCGATGGCACTGTTGCGGCACTGTCGTGGCACTATGGCGGCACTATGGCGGCAATGATAGGCAATGCCGTGATCCTACTAAAATCTTTGGGATTGGCTTGGTGAGGATTTAAAACGCTGTCGGACAATTCGGCGCTGAATTTGTGACATCAACAAAAGGAAATGCTCTAAGTTATGAATGGTAGCTGTGTCATCATATCAATCCCATCCGACTCCCTATTTATGTACTTTTAAGCCGGGAAACTTGGGGCTGACAAGAATCCTGGACTCTAGTTCGACACGTACTGACTACTGACTATATTGCCTGTACTGCGTACAGGCAATATCAATATTAATGAGATTGAAACAAAAAATATTGAATATTCTTGCCGGCATTAAATTTAATTAAGTTGCTAGAATATGGCCTCAACATTTTTCGAATTTTTACGAGTTTTTCGACCCAAAAGCTATCAAATTTGTTAACGGGTGATACTCGTAAAATATTTGTTCCAAATATTATAGACCGTCGACGAGGGTGAAGCGAAATTTTAATTTTCAATTTTAGCTCGCTGCTGCAGCGGAACGGGGAAGGGTCAAGGGAGAAACAGAAGATCTTTACACCTTTAGTTTCGACCAGTTTTTTAACCCCCCGAAACTGCCAGTCCAAAATGTGGAATGGTTCGTAATTGTATTAACATGAAACTATGAAAGATGCAGATGGTCACTACCACAATTATAACTGTTCCATGACACCCTGAATCGACCAAATTGTCACAAATCAGTTCCTCAACCCCTAAATTTTGAAGACTCTTATTTTTATTATCTTGTTTTTCAGGTTATTGACGTAACACTAACTAACAATTAAAAGAAAAACATGATATTAAAAGATATAATTATAAACATTACATAGTAAATTATTACAATGTATTATTAAACATTTTTCATATAAGTATAACTCGCTTTGCACAACTCGGCTGCTTTTATGACGATACAATCTAATTAATTGTTTCCTATATTATATATCAAACCGCTGTTTAGTGCTTCGACTTAAATAATCAACCATAGTTAAAACTGATTCTCCCTTATCAGTTACAATTCACATGGTTTTGGTTTCTTTTGATATTTAATAATTTCATTTAGATATCGGTCATCATATTCAATCTAAGATATTGGCTGCTGGTCAATATATTCTATCTGTACTGTAGCTGGACTCATATTGACGAGAGTTACATTTCTGGCGAACTAAATAACATTTTGGGTTAACGCAAATTCGAAGGATGTGAATTATAACTGATAAGGTTTTACTTGCACCTTGAAATAGAAGGATAAGTGATAGTTTAATGTTACCTCTAGGGTCAAAAGGGCCAACAAGAGATCTGAGCCATCGCCACCTCCAACGGTTTCACTAGCTGGCTTTTTTGGCACCATCACTTCGGGATATCGCTAATGGCCTGCCCGTTAGTGATTCTATTTATGTCAATCGGCTATCTGTCTCTCAAATAGTACAACCAGTTCATACTTGACCAGGTCACTTACTTGTGATTAGGTGTTCATGTTTGGTATATAATTTCATGTGTAAAAACAACTACGAAAAAATTTGATAAATATTTAGAAACTATCAAACACAATAACCAACTACATTCAGAAAAGCCGTGAATTTGAAATTCAAGTTTGCGATGACAAATGGTAACATCACTTATATGGCATTATCTAAAAAACTGTCATTGCGGCTATGATGGACTTTTTCACACAAATTTACATTTAGTACATTCTTAAGGCCGATCATATAAATTGGCTTGTCCTAACTTTAAACTGACAATGTAAACTTTTATTTTAGAAATTGCGCTTTGCACATCTCTTCGGAAAACCGTAAAATATTTTAAAAAGTTGATAAATTTAAACCAGTTCTTATAAATTATTAAGATATTATTTCATTCTACATTTCGTCAATAAAGGAAAATCTCTTTCTAAACAATACACTATGATATATGAGTAAATTATGATAATAATTAATTACATTAATGTTAACCTATTTGACCTATCTAAGGGGTGATAATACACAATTCACAGATACAACCTAATAGTCAATGGTGATCAATAAATGTTGCATTCCCTCTTTTGGCTATGTAATGCTCATTTTTCAATGACTAAACTTTTCCCAACGGAAAGCTAATTTCACTTTGCCGAAAGAAGGAAACCAACAACATTGACCAGCTTTTAAAATGATATCGAAATCTTACTGCCCTGTTTTCAGCATAAACCTGCCTGCTGCAGATGATTTCAATTAAATCCATCGTAAAGTAAATTTCCTAGCATAACAATGAACCTAATTCAAATTGATCATGCGGCACTATTTGGATAGTTTCCAGTCATCGCCATGGCTCCGTTCTTCTTCTTCGCGTCCTCAACGGCAGCCACCAGCCTGAAAATATACGTCTCAAGGTACATAATCTAAATTGATCAAAAATGATAAAATAATCAGTATTAAAAGCAAATGTTCTGAGTGGATAACCACAAACTATAGCGCCCAAAGCTGTAGACCTGATAAATTTATTGAACCAACAAGAAAGAGATATTGCACGTGATATTGCACGTGATAAACTTACGGTAGAGTAATCTCCCACTTAGGACCAAGTACTTTCGGGAGGAATGCAATGGCAGCCATGACGGGGATGAAGAGGAAGGATGAGAAGACGAGGATTCCAGCAAGGCCCCAAGCCCATGGAGGGTAATTCACATCTTCAGTCCAACTATCGCCATCGGCCTGCACAAATTGTGAGATGAGTTTATGTTTCTGTTTCTGTTTCGGTATACGGTTTCTGTTTCTGTTTCGGTATACGTAAGAGTGTGTATTTCGAGGTCTTTAATGTTCAATAGATATTTGGTAACGTAAATATCTTATATTGAATAGATATTACAGCATTATTCAGTTAGATAAACATTCCACGCTATTTATTTATACACGTATTTTATATGTTTATAGGATAACAAGCTTGATGTTTTACTTGTACCACCAAGTACCAACATGTTATCACAAATATTACATCACGAGTCTTTGATCTTTTCCGTACAAAGATGGTAGATTAGTGTGCTCGCTAAGATCGAAATCGCCCAGGCGACGATCTGACCCCTTCTAATGACTAACAATATTTGTTGAGGCACAAATTACAGCATAATTACCCGTTAAATCTATTAGCTTATTAGATTCCGGAGAAATAAAACATTTATAACGAAGTTTGATCGGTCGGTTAGGATATTTAACAATTTGTCTTATAAGGCCATTAGGCCACCGGAGTCCGACAAGTGATGGAACTGCTCTGCAAAATTAATTCATGCGGAACTGACTAAGTTTCATTCTTAACTGTAAATTCACTAAATACTGCTGCCAACTTAAACCTTCAGTAAGATCGTTGTACCAGTAACTAAGATCACCTAATATGTCATTTTGTCAAACAACTTGCGTCATGTAAATGTTCAGATGTTGGTTTTGCTTTTACTTCAGAAATTCGTCTGCGTGCATATATTCATGATATTACATTCGATTCTAGATTTTCGTAGTGGATAAACTGCGCGCGCGTGGTATGTTTTATGATGCGCGCGCTTTCTACTGAACAATTTAATGGTGCACTTCCAAAACAAAATATTTTCGCGGCTTCCATTTTTACAGTAAGTTTCACGGACAGAGCAATGTGCTCCAGCCATGCTGTTTAGAGGTGACACACGAGTCACGATTTAAAACAATCTATGTTTAAGAGCAGTTTCGTGATCACTAACTCTAAAAACAACGTGTAACAAGTGACAAGGTCACACAAGTGGCTGTTATAATGGAACAGTTTGAAGTTGGCAATTGCCGGATGAGATCACTGAAAGTTACAACTTTTCTAGAGAAGTTAGCATCTGTGATCGGGGATATTAGAATCAGTACCAATTGGAATACACATAAGAAGAGCAGGCTTTTTCATGAATGTTGAACTGGAATAGATCCTATTACTATTCGATATCAAATGCCAGCTTCAAATTGATCCACAGAAGTTCGAACGCTGTACAACACTCACTTCTGTTCATTTTTAACATTCCAGGAACTAACATTCAGATCGCACCGGATTAAGTAGTTCGCCAGATCATACAGCAACTATGATATCAGTTACCAATCACATTAAGGATGATATTGTGCCATGCATTCCGTAGAATTAGGTTAAAAAGCTCATATAAATATAGAAATTTCCTGCGGCCCGTTATTCGGAAACTGCAAAGATATTCATTACCATCATTGATACCGTGTTTGTAAAGGCAGGATTTAATCCGAACACGGCCGGAATTCACCTAGGCAACACATTTATGAACCGGAGAAAGTTTTCAACTTCCCAGTATACACTCGAATATACGGAATATATCGTGTTCTAACACGTTGCAAGATACCCCAGATGTTTATGTTTACCGGGGCAATGACAAGTTATGAAAATAAAAAATGAAAATTTATTAAGAACAGCATGGAATTACTCAATGATTCAGTAATTTCAGTAAGAATTAGTGTTATAAGCTTCAGACATGGTCCAAAGCATGGTCTGTGAAGATGAGGCCGTGAATTTAATGGTTTCTCATAAACTAGCTTTGAAAATAAGTACCGCTTGTTCAAAGGAAGCCGTTAAACTGGGGTTTAATCCTGATTGAGCGCGCGTTTACATAATCATAGTAATATACGTTACCTGGGACCTCAGGCTATCATGTTCATAAACATAGAATAGAGATTCGGCGGAATGACAGGCTGAGAGCGGCCCAGTAAAGTAATACGATGATTATTAACTTAAAGATTAGTTCATGCTCCTTGTTATAGACTAGCCGAACACTGAACACGAATGATAACGTACTGATCAGCTTTACTTTAGCATTGACGAAGTATAATGTGATTATAAAGTGAATTCCGCTCGTTAAACATATACGTTACTTTAAAGTGATAGCATGTGCTGGCCAAAATATCAGGTTTTGGTAACTATTGAGGAGAATGTATAATAAAAACAAGTACTAATCGCATGTTGAATGAATAATTAGTAATTAGTAATTAGTAATTAATGTTGTTGTCCGTTATATTAAGATAATAGCACATTGTGTCATAGCGTGAGTAGTAAGGATTCTGTAGAAGCAGTTAGTACATGTATTTCACAGAGATGTTATGTAGTTTTGTTTTCACAGTGCAAATTCTACACCCTTGTTATACTATAGAATTTACACAATCTATAAGTGGGTACAAGGTTGGAAGCTAGTGTAGACAAATTCTGGTGAATTGTTTAAAAGGGCTGATATCAAACACATTTTGGACGACTATAGGAAGCTAATTCAGGTTTTAATACCGTTATGTTACCACAAGATTTCCTGTTGGCGCAAGGTGCTGGGCCATTACTAGGGAACTCAGTTTAAATGGGCAGAATGTAGATAATGTTCTAGGAACAGTGAAAACAGCGTGAGACTTTATAGCCAGAAAGATATCGTTCTTATATTACGTAAGCTAGTTTTGGTGGAGGGGATTTGAAAAATGTAATTTCTACACAACAGTTGTGTGTAAAGTCAAAAGTGGCTAACGGGAAGGATCTGGCTTTCCTATCGCGTAATATGTGAACCGTCCCTTGAGACAAGTTCTACTAACACATTTCACACTGGAGCTCATCGTCAGGTTTTGGTAAAGTCAAGATCAGATTTTGGTTGGGTATTTTGAGAGTTTAGGTAAGGTTGTAGTCAGGTTATGTCGGAATATGAACTAAGACACGTCTTGCCAGAAACAAACTATCCACAGCTCTAACTGCACAACATAAAACAAAACTAGAACTAACTGTTTACTTAGTAGTAGTAGTAGTAGCTTAGTAGTAACTTACATTACAGCCAACGAATTTGCCGTACAGAAGAGGAGTTTGAAGCTGATCCACAAGAGAGTAGATGAGGACGAAAGCCAGACTGAGGGGGGTCACCACAACCCACATGATCCTCCACACTATGTTGGGGTAGTATCCGGTCATCTCCTCGAAATCTTCACAGAATCTAGAGGGGAACAGAGGGTGTTAAAGAGAAACCTGGTTAAATCTGAGAAATCTGAGAAAGCTTGAGAAGTTAGTAAAATCTGGACTCTGGAGACATCTAGGCGACTGGGGAGGTAATACACGTTTTGACACGGCATCATTAAATTTTATAAAGCATCGTTATATATTTCATCAAAACAAGCTTGTATCACGTTCTCAAAAGAAGTTCACTATATGAACCTACACTAACATGTCCGTTATAAATCTATAGACAGACTGCTCAACATGTAATTCTATCAATATTTGATTAAAAAACAAATGAGGGTGAATCTCGGCAAATGAATAACTTGTCAAGCTGGATCACAATCCCTCGGCAGATTAAAATTGAGTCACTTTAGTCGCTTGTACAATGTACACACAATGTGTCGGAATCATATGCTGTAAAGTTATATTATACATGTATTATTTTTATATTATTATTTTTATATGTATTAAAAATTATAATATTGAATACTCTACTTCAATTATGCTCATCACCAGCTCAACTGGCCCCAGTCATCCTGGCTGTCTAATTATAAAACCTTCTATGAGGATTGAGGATAATTCTAGGTGTATACATCTTGAATTGTCAGAAAACTCATCGTAAGACATTGCGCAAGACACATTGTCAGTTAATTATCGTGTTACTCTGCAACAACAACTGGGAATGACGCTAAAGTTACCTGTCGATCCCGTAAACCCAAGAAACAGCGATGACCTCAAAGAAGGCCACCATCATGAGGGGGAAGTTGGCAGAGAAGTTGTCGAAGAGGTCCACGAGGTACTGGCCGTTCTGCATCCCAAAGGGGAGGCCCAGGAGGAAAGAGAAAGAGCAGAAAAGACCTGAAAAAGTAGTTATATTAAAGTAATGTTACTGATGTAGGTCTGGGAACTTCATTATTATTTATCATTTATTCTGTGAATGGGTTCAATTTGCGCGGACATCTGTCATAGTGTCATGAGTCACAAGCAAGTTTTGGAAAACTTTTTGCTCCGCTTAATTTCTATGCGCCGGATCAACTATTAACAATATCATGGCAAGTGAGGCATGAGTCATCAGTCACGTGCCATGCTCCCTGTCTGTAGCGTGACTAACTCGTATGAGAGCATATTCTCAAGTTCTCACCGTCTCACCGTACTGTTATGTGGACAATATGGAACAAGTTCCAGACTGTTCTCCAGAGGAAACCAGTGTCCAGTAAGGAACCTACTCTCCACTATAAAGGCTTTTCTAGTAGACACTCACATACCAACCTGTCTGTGTAAAATAAGCACTACACCGTACCAGTGTAGGCGCTCTTGTGATCTGGGCTGCTTTTAGTTGGTTTCAGGGCGGTATCCGTCTCAGGATGGGATGAGACGACCGGGTGGCCGTCATCACGTCAAGCCCTCTCACGCGTGAGCACGGTTGACAATTTGACAACACAAGCAGACCTTCCTAATGTATTATGAAGGTTGTACTTCTGGCCTTGTCACAGTCATGCTACAGAGCTACACAAGTAGGAGCGGGAGTATTTCCCGCTAGAAGGGCAGAGCTGGAGAATTTTAGTTCCAAACTGTACGGGACCAGTCAGATTGCCAATCTTGGTGCCATGTGAACATTTTGAAGGCAAGTCAGTGAAAGAATTAGCCTTCAGATAGGTTGGTAATTTTTAAACTAACAGTAACATTGTACATAATGATTACACTACACTAAAGTGTTAAATTAGACTTTCCCACCACATCTAATCTCAAAACAGGCAGATCTTCACCACACCAGATTAAAGAAAGACTCAGCATTAAACAGCTGTAAGGGTCGGATAACGGCACCAGACATTTGCTGGAATGTAGCTCAAAATGTGAATTTACCGATGTACTCAGAGAAATAGGGCCTGTTGTAAGGGCAGTGGTTCCGTATTGAATAGCCGACTTCTTTCACGGGTGATACCTCGGAAAGCACTAGATACGGGCTATGTTACAGGCTATGTTATATTTCGTAGTGATTAGTGATGATAGTAATCACATCATAACCATGTGGTCATTAATCTAGTGCATCAAATCAAGGATATTCCCCCAGCTTTCTGACTCAATACCGATGCCATGTTTCGTGGCTAATGGTATATTACTAGTAGTATCACGCGGCGGAGTTTAAATTTGGGAATTTTAAATCTCCCTGCAGTCGTATATTTGTGAGTCTGGAAACTCTAACCCGAAAAGTGAGCATCGGCTTCCTTTGGTCGGTGCTTTCGCAAAAATTAGGATAATTGTCACCATATATATAGATGAAAATATGCGAGCCGTGGGGGGGGGACAATCCGATAAACCTGTTTTAGTGTTTCTTTTAGAGTGCTTAAACCGTCTACGATCCCTTCCAGATGAAAGTTAAGCATGGTTTATTGGTAAAGTATGTATTATAACTATACTATGCACTACTCTTATCTAAGCTCTTATCTACTCTTATCTAGGCTGTAAGTGTTAAAGATAGAACAGGATAGTGTATATTCCTACCCATAACGACGGGGCGAGGAATTGCTTTTGGTATGAGTGTTGTGTCATCAAGTGCAGTCATCATACCCTCAATACCAGCAAACTGAAACATTTCATGATTTATGATATTACTCCCATTCCAATCTCATTCTTATCTTTATATGGGATATTCCTCAACATTAAGCATCCGTGAAATGAACCCATTTTAAGCAAATAATATTTATAATAATTAACATGATTATTTCAACTTACCTGTGAGTCAATACCCAACATGAACAACATCACGAAGAACAGAGCACTCCAGAGTTGCGCGGCGGGAGTTGTTGCAATAGCTTCCGACACTGCAATGAAAGCCAGTCCGGGTCCTGTAGCCAGCTGAAAGGGTAGATCGTGTTAACGTTGTATTAACGTCGTGTTAACGTTTTGTTAACGTTGAACATTATTGCTCACAATATGTGTTACAGTAATGCAAATATTTAATTAATAAATTAATATTATTGACGTTTAGGTTATTGACACTTGGAATGAAATTTAGCATTTATTATTGACAGCTTAAAAAAGAGCCACCATTTAAGGGTTAGATTAACTGATTATATGCGATTCCGCATCCCTTCACGAACGCAAATTAATTACAAAATATGCGTTGATGTGTCACCAACACTTACTTGATCGATAGAAATATTATTCTTGTAGGCGTTGCTACCAACGATAGCAAATATGGTAACACCAGCGAAGATTGAGGTAACACTGTTCACCACCGAGATACACAGAGCGTGTTTGTAGAAGTTAGTTTTGGGCGGATTGTACGAAGAGAAAGCTATACATGATCCAAATCCTGAGAATTTTAATTTTATCCTCCAAGAATTATTTGATTGCATTGTCAGATCATCTGGAAGGACCTGTACAATTATCCGATGATTTATTATGAAACATGTACGTACTACGTGATAACGATACATGAATGTAATTAGTATAGATTCGTTAAAATGTAGCTTACCTAATGACAGACTGTAGAAGATCTGAGCAGCAGCCTCAAGCCAGCAGTACGGATTGTACAAATGTCTCCAGCTGCTTAAAATTGTAACGTTGTTTTTGGCGTCCATCTCGGCGTCAGCAGCAAATCTATACTGAAATAACGGTTCAGGTCACGAGATAGGTCAAGTCACATGATATTTCTCATACAGTGGGGTGCACTGGTGCCGTATATAATGATCATTCCTGTTATGAGCACATTTTGCAGATTGGTGGTTCGGATGCGTGGTTATAGCTGAGTGAAAATAATGAGCACTGTTCGTATTATCTCGATGAGAAATGACCAATATATATGGTCCCCACTGTATAACTACATAGTGCATATAGCACCTGATAGAATTGACAAGACCAAATCGATCTAGACTTGATTAATTGCCCTGGACACATTTCGAACACACGGAAGGGGTCGTGAAATCAAGAGAAGTTGTGTGTTATGAATATGCTGGATATCATCTAGCTGCTAAAGTTAAGTTATAACTCGGTAAAATCTGGGTTACTCTGGATTCTGAGCAACTTTGAAGCAATTCTGATTTACGTATAGTATCTCAGATCATCTTCCAAAACTGATATTTACAGGTATTTATACCTTTATAAACAGGTTTACAAGCCTTTACTAAATTTACAGTTATTGGCAGTGCATAATTAAATAAGATTAAACTTTCTGCACTGTAATCGTCACCAGATTAACGCAGACATATACACACCTATAAAGAAAACAAGTAACCTGATAAAATATGTTGAAATAATGTTGAACTAATGTTAAAATAATGTTGAAACTCACAGTAGGATCGAAGAAGTATTTGACACCCTCCATAGCACCCTCCAGAGTCATGCCCATAATGAAAAGACCAACTAGGGCAATAAAAGGGAATACGGCAGTCACGTACACGACCTTACCAGAGGTCTTGATACCTAGGAGGAGGAGTATATCATTAAATTTGTGGTGAATATTCAATCTTTAAATAGGTTAATAATGAAGAAATACTACAGTATTTCACGGATTTGTGGTGAATATTCTAAAAGGTCAATAATGAATGAAAACGGTTGCTATCACTCGTGCGAATTGGCGCAAGCCTCAATTGCGGCTGATCGGTTTATCGACACCGCAAGACACAATCAAGGGGGAAGTTAGAGTTACCTTTAACCATGCAGAGGAAGCAAGTAACCCAGGCGAGTAGAAGACAGAGGGTGATGTCCCAGTTAAAGGAGCCTGCTGTTGAGATATCAGGACTTATGTGCAGCACTTCGTAGTACCTGTGTGGTTTAGTGATCATGATTTTGAGAAATATGCTCTTTTTTTTGTTCGACCGATGCGTTGGATGCCGTTTAACAACGTTGAAGATTATCACGTCATGGCAAATTAATTATCACTAGACGGTACTCAAAACCACGGTCCGGTATTTAAGTAATCATTTTGAAAACATAGTGGCAACGTGGTGTGCGGTGTGCCAGAACTTGATTTGTTACCTCGATTTCTAATTAATCGTCAATTGATGAATTTTTGAACAGCCGTCAGCCATTTTGGAAAAATGTGAGACACAATTGAATAAGCAATTTACTCAATGTTACCGGCGGTACCCTTGTAATTAGTATAATGTTTCATGTTGAAGCTATATTGGAGGTAACTGTTCACGGTACTTATTGTCTTATTGTGTCTCTACCAGATCAGAGTGGGTTAATGTGAAGCAGAGCCAGCAGCACACCATCGTATAGATCATTTGAGTAACACATTTAATTGTTTCATAGTGTTTCATAGTGATTTACCAGCTGTCGATATAACTGCTTAACGCCATTAGAGAAGTAAAACTGTTGATTGGTAATTGGTTGGAAAATATAACGCACTGTTCGCAACTTCATTACATAGACCTAGAGTATAATAGATAGGTATTACCTTACGAGACATATTTATGTTCGACATGATAATTCCGGTGATCTAAATGGTATGGAAACGAAAATATGGGAATTTTTTCCGAAAACCGCCATATTTCGTACCCCAAATTTAATCATGGTATTTCGGGATTTTTTCATGTCCTTATTTTATAAAAATGAAACCCAATATTTGAGAAAATTAAATATAAAGATCTTCTCTGATCAATCCTCCAGAGGGTATAGGAGACCGACAGTGTTTGTTATCTTCCACTAATCCCGAAATTTCACCGCCGTGGCCAAGAAAGTAGTGACAGAGCTTGCTTATTTTTAATGGAACGTGCCCAAAATCATTTTTAAAGCAATTTATGATCAAATATTAGTGTTCTTAAATTGTTTGATGATTCATATTTATAACTTACCATATTGACAAGTTATAAATATAAACTATATTTAAGGTATATCATTGTGTTTCCAAGAAATGTTACAGCCGCTCCGCAGACCAACTGGGGCTACACGTAAAGTGTAAACTACAATAACTATATTATTCATAATAATGATGGGTACTATGAAGATAAAGACACGATAAGACAATACTACTGTGAACAGTGAACAATGAACATGACGTAATAATAAAGTTATCTTCAACATGGGACACGGTAAAGCACCAATTACAAGGGTGCCGCCGGTTTCATTGAGTAATATGCTCACTTCAATCACCTAGGCGTCTCACTTTTTTCCAAAATAAATGTTCAAAAATCCATCATATAATACTACTTTCAGTTAGTGTTTTCGAATAATAAGAACTTGTTTATTTTAGTTCAAAACAATCCAATTACAGCACAGTCACAAGAATAGCAGTGCTTGAAATGTTTTGAAAATACTAAATCTATTTTGACTTCTCTTATAAGCATATAGCATGCAATGAAGTCCAATAATACTAGCAGTCAATATTCAATAATGTCACCACATTTATTCTAATGCTCTACAAAAATTAACATAAGGATTATTATGAATTCCACGATGGCTGACATTCATATAATTCTTCCAATATTTACCAATAATAAGAAGATTTAGTGTTGTTAGTACAGCAATTCGCAGGGTAATCGTCGCCGATAGGACAATCTGCAGCCCAGGGGAGTGTCTGAAGGGGGAGAGGAAGTTGAAATATTATTTATCTAAATAGTTACAAAATGAATATGGTTCACAACAAAATGTATCTTCGTTGGTTTAATACAGATATTGAAGGACAATGACAATGATTTGATTTCTTGGAACATGATTTGAACGTTTATTTGTCATTTTGTTTCAAGAGTTTATAGAGTGAAAGCTTACCTTTTGAAAGGAAGCGAAGAAGTAATAAATAGTGTACATAATGATTGCATTGTAGTACAGATTCGTGTAGAACCCTATCATCCAAGTCGCGAAACCAATTCCACCTGTGATCATATTATTCTTGTTATATAATATACTGATCAGTTTAAAACAAATTATTGTACTGAGTTTATCTAGAAGATAGTTTTTTCAGAAGATGGCTATTAGCCCTCTAATAACCGGTCGGCATTGTACCTATTTTCCGTTATCACCATTTTATGCTGTTGGTGAACAGACAATTGTTGGTGAAAGTTATATCCGTTACTTCTAAACGACAACAATCTTTAAAATAGAGAATTTGCGGCCGAAACCAAAAGACAGCTATCTTATATGGGTTTCCCAAGAGATAATATTTGAACTTTTGGGGGGGGGAGTCCAATGTTGACAACTTTGACAAAATTTAGGGCGGACCTCTTACAAGGTGACGCAAGTTTTCAACAAGTGTGCGAATATGCCATGTGTTATATACAGAGTGTGCCCATCAGTCTGTAGCAAAACCATATGTGTGCAGTATGCAGTGCATAATATGTGCACGAATGCAGGGTTAATGTCATGGAGTCAGTGTTTGGCGCAATTATCATCTCCGTGTCGACGCCGTACACACACCCATCTTGGCGTAGTGTCATACAGTCAAAACAGTTGTCACAGTTGTGCGTTATCATAACTACTGTCAATTTGCACACGTACCTCTAATCAGTGTGTGTGTGTGTGTGTGTTTGTGTGTAAAATAACATTGTTCTACTCCTCATGAAACAGTAACAAGTAAAACCAGCCCCGGCCTGATCTGTGATCTGTGTCCCGACATGATCTGTAACAGATAATACCGGGGACACAGATCAGATATTAATAGACACACCGTAATATTCTCCTCCTGTTTAGTGTCATCTGTCACGATAAGAACGTGCGGGCAGTGAGTGCTATTGTGCTGAACCATCACTATAGCTTTCAACACATTACGGCTCAGATCGCCACCGTGTCAAACCTTTATGCAACTTACTCATCGTGTCAGTGTGTGACTTCAAAAGGAAAAAATTAGATTTCTCAGAAGTCCGAAATTCACTTAGTTTAACATTCAGCTATTTAGACTCCTCACAAATTTCGTTTATACCCAATTTGGTCATTCTAGAATGAAGACTGGAGAAAAAGCCTTAAATTGGTTTTAAGCGATCATCACTCTTCACTATCCAACTAATTTTCTGATTTCTCAAGCTGAATGTCAATATGGTCGACTTGGCAATGGCTCAAAGAGTGTATCTGTTTCAACACTTGCGTATTTGTGACGCACGTGTCAACTAACCGCGCAATCTGCATTTGATGGGATGCCGTGGTTTTCACGTGTCAAAACGGCCGTGTTTCATCTTTCCGCCCGGAAAACAATACCACCTGTGGTTAGAGCATAATAAACATTGAAAGTACACAGAATTGCAGTACTGTGTTGTAACTGTAGGCGTGTCTACTTACTTAGAGCTTTGTGGATTTTGTAGAAGCCTCCAATGCAACCTGATCGGAACTTCTGTCCTATCCAGAGTTCCACCAGGAAGAGTGGAACTCCCTCTATCACCAACATCGTGAAGTATGGTATCAGGAACACCGCTGAAAGGGAAGACTTGGTTATCTGTTCTGATAAATCTCACAAAATTAACCAATATGTCAGAATTGTCTATTTTTCATTGTTCATAATAATAATATGGTATGTGGACCCTTGCGGCTTGCATATGTTGTAATAAACACTTCACAAGTTTATTATCATACTAATGACAAATAATAATATTATTCGTTTTTCATATAATCAAACTAACTCAAACTTATTATTTTTATTACATCAACAGGTTGTAACTGTAAAATGTAAATTGAACTCGCAAAACTTTTCAAAAACTCAAAAATCTGGCTCTTGTGAGCATACGTAATTTCGATCATGAATGGCACTTATCCTCCCCTCATAACATTAATAGATTTCTTCTGTTAATACGACTATTTTAAAAGTAAATTGCCCTATGTCTTATCTTGATTAATTAATTAAAGTGTCTAAAGCCACAAAATCACAGTTAACTTCGCTCAGAATTAAACCACCGTCTCTGTTAGCTTAATATAACCAACCAAACAGCTGAAACTTGCTGAGGTGGTTTTAACACCACCAAATTCGGGAAATTAATTGCTCTCTCTCACACACAGGGGACAGTATCCCTAATTAATCATGGAGATGTTAAAATACAGCTCGTACTATTGCAGTGCCTGGGCCACTTTAATTTGAAAGATAGCGTTTATATTACTCAGCTATTCCGGGTACTTAAAATAAAATCCAATATCATTCAAAATGAATGTTATTTTATGTATGTCAGTGATAATGTTCAGTGTTATATATATATAAGTTCGAGATGTTGTCTAAGACTGGGCGAGTAGACGGCAGCAGGATACTGGTCTGTTTCCGATGTGTCTGCAACTCAATGGTCGAAAATGATCAAATTGCCCGCTTTGCCACGCGAATTTTCAACAGCTGTCTTGAAATTTGAATCAAACACAGCAGGCCTAGAAAGTTGATGGTCCAATGACCGGATTTAAATGCCCACACATATAGAGAAGCCTATACTGTTGATGTGATTATATTTCTGAGGTTCCCGTCTGGAGGCGAAATCCCGACTTTTCGAGCTGGAGTAGGCTGAGTGTAGAATCGGCATCTTTGTGACCAAACCATCTTTGGAGAATGCCGAACACCGAATTTCTAGCGTCACCATTCCTTGTCAGGATAACTGTCGCGTTAATAGCTGAGGTTGTGATCGGTATCCAGGCAAATACTATCTCGTAAAAGCTGATCTGTTCCGTCGAGACCCACCAAACTATCACGATGCTGAGAACCGAGATAAAATAGGGGATGTTTATTAGCATAATTGTGATGCAGCTTGTTATGTACTTGGCGTTATCTTTACCTGGATTCCTTTTAATGGTGATGAAAAGGTAGATGAGAGTGGATACGGAGATAATAACTCCGGCACAGCAGTGACTGAAGTTTGCCCACAAACAGAGGTTGAATACAATCTTGAGTAGCTTCGTCCCCCACTCGTTCGTCTTGAAGAATGCTGTAGCGATGAAGTGGGTTCCATTGTTGATGGTCATGTAAGCGACGTACCCGAAGAGGTAAATCAGGATGTTTCTTTGTTTCATGTTGTAGAAAGGAAACACGATCTTGATGGCTCGAGAAACTGCCAAAAGGAACCCTACGTTCTGGGAGAAACATCCAAACAGGCATGTCCACAACCGGGTACATCTCAAGACGATGTGGGAGGATGGAAGTAGTTCTGGAGTCAGCATGAGGTGGGTGTAAACCAGTGGGGCCCAGAGATTAGTCAGGAAGTCTGTGATATTAAGACATTTGAACAAGGTTGTGATGTTTGTCTTGGTTTTTTTGAAGTGGCAAAACAAGAGGGGGTTAAGGAAAGTGGAGATTATCCACGGGAAGATGAAGAATGTTCCTAGGAAGTAGTTGATGGTTTTGTCTCCTGTTGAAGGGGTGTAGGGAGCAATCTCCGACACATTGTGCACAGGGTCCCTCTCAAAAAGGGTGAGATTCCAGAAGATTATCATCTTAGGAATCAGTCGGTGTATTGTTGAGGCATCAGTGGTAACATTATGAAGGAATCAGTTGGTATATTGTTGAGGCATCAGTGGTAACATTATCAAGGAATCAGTTGGTATATTGTTGAGGCATCAGTGGTAACATTATCAAGGAATCAGTTGGTATATTGTTGAGGCATCAGTGGTAACATTATCAAGGAATCAGTTGGTATATTGTGGAGGCATCAGTGGTAACATTATCAAGGAATCAGTTGGTATACTGTTGAGGCATCAGTGGTAACATTATCAAGGAATCAGTTGGTATATTTTTTTTTATCTAGACACTTATTTTACTTCGGTGTATTCCAACATATTGTTGAGGCATCAGTGGTAACATTATCAAGGAATCAGTTTGTAGACTAGAAACGCAACTATTAGTGGTTAACTAGATTTTGTCCAGCCTGGAACTGATATTATGGGCAAACTAAGGATTACAAGAGTAAATTGCCTAATATGTGGCGAAAATGATAAAAATCTTGAAGCACCTGGAAATGTTTTATTCAAATGAGGTATTTATGAGTCAAATCTACTGATTTACAGCTGCTCATAATCAGCCCGCTCATCAACCCAAAATAATACTACTTGGGGAGTCAACTACATGTACTAAAATCTACTGATTTGTGAGGCAACTCTATGTCACTATGTTGTAAAATCCATTGATTTACAGCTGTTCAATGCTCATCATTTTCAGTCTTAAGGCAAACATCTTACACCTGCAGTGACACAAGTCTTATACGGGTCACGTGTCAGGGTCTGTCCGCTATTGAATGGATAAAATGTTATAGAGCATTAATAAAGTTAAAGGTACAAATAAAAATATATGCTATAAAACTTATCATTTGTACAATTATTTTAAATACCTTTACATGGACTGGGTGGTACTGTACAACTATAAGTACAGACTATAAATCATCTCAACTCATTATAATACGAATCTATATTATATATAAATAATCTTATAGGTATACATTATTTTCTGAGTCGCCCTAATCTAATCCGTAGTAACGTGCCCAAATGTTAATGCAAAAGTCAAGTTGAATTGGGAAATTGGTAGATCACCGACCGGCTATAAGCCGGTTATAAGCCGGCTATAAACCGGCTTGTAGCCGGCTACAATTTTTATAGCCGGCTATAAGCCGGCTTATAGCCGGTTAGTAGCCGCTTACATTTGTTGTTGAGCGACGGCTATTAGCCGGTTATAAGCCGGTTATAAGATATTAACTCAACTTCATCGTACTGAACGATAGTCAGGAGCCGGCTATAAGAAATTCAGCGAAAACGGCTATTAGCCGGTTATAAGCCGGCTATTAGCCGTTTAGGTATCGAAAGTGGTTATAAGCCGGCTATAAGCCGGCTATAAGATATTAACTTAATTTCATCGTACTGAACTGAGTTAATATCTTATAACCGGCTTATAGCCGGCTTATAACCACTTTCGATACCTAAACGGCTAATAGCCGGCTTATAACCGGCTAATAGCCGTTTTCACTGAATTTCTTATAGCCGGCTCCTGACTATCGTTCAGTACGATGTAGTTGAGTTTATATCTTATAACCGGCTTATAACCACTTTTAATACCAAAACGGCTAATAGCAGGCTTATAACCGGCTAATAGCCGTCGCTCAACAACAAATGTAAGCGGCTACTAACCGGCTATAAGCCGGCTATAAAAATTGTAGCCGGTTAGTAGCCGGCTTATAGCCGGTCGGTGATCTACCAACTGGCCGTTGAATTGTCGTGAAAATAAATGAACAGGTAGCTTCTATTCTATGGGAGGCATCGACCAATGACCCTGATTTTTATTCCAGTCATTCTTCAGGGTAGCATTTCCAGCAAAGCAAACATATTTAAAGTAAAAATATTGGTTCCTAAGACTAAGGAGATAAAGAAATAGGTGTCTCACCTCCTCCATACTGTTTAACTTTGATGGGAAATCTCCACAAGTTACCGAGCCCCACCACGGACCCTATCGTTGAGAGTATAAACTCAAGGTTACTTCCTGAAATTAGAGGGGTCGTGTCAGCTATGTGATAATCTAGATTCATTAATATTCACTGATATTCAATATTATGTGATTAATCAAGTTATCCACGAATCAATTCGCTTGATTGTTGATTTAATAACATTAACGCTGGCAATGTTATTGAAATAATGTAAAATCAAGCTTAACTTATTAGAGGATATGTTTTTGTATTATTACTTATGTTGATTAATCAATTGCTCATGTTGATTCATTCACTGGTAATATTTAAAACTTGATTAACTTATGTAACAACAAACCCAACATTGACACGGGGATTAGAAATATATTAATATATCGGCACGATCACCAATCTCGATATTGAAGCATATTTTCGTCGCATTTATCAACGACCATACAATTAATATCAACGTTACATTCTGACGGCACCATATTCAAACAATTAATCTTCATGTAATATTCGAACATGACAGTCACTTTAATCACCAAGGTCCTATTCGGAACCTAACGAATCAGGAATTTTACCGTGTCCACTGTTCAATGTTCAGTGTTCACCGATATTCAGAGAGATTCCTCGAGAACGGTTCTACAGCCATTAGAGTTACCGACAGCCACTTGTGCATCCTTGTGTCTTAATTTTCGTGTGCATCTTTAAAATAATGTCTACAAGGTACATGAAATGACTGCGATTTCTTATCTTCAGTTATTTTATTACACTTAATTTGTGACACCTAGTCAAGCGACAGGAGGCAGGATGTAAAGATTAAAATAGTATATCTTTAAATAGCTGAAGGCGATTAACACAAGTATTTTGAAAGCTCCTGCTAAATAAAATCTTCGTATCACTTATATGTTTTAAATATCCCCCTCCAAGCTAGTATATCTTTACATAGTAACAAGTTAACACGTTTATTCAATCTGCATATTATCATAAATTTATGATGTGTGGAAATACGCTAAACAGCTACGTTGTTCACTTCTACAGAATGTTGATTACTGGCTACCATTCTAAACCTTACAGTGAAATTTCTAGCGTGATGCTGATCAAATCAAAAAAGCAATTATTCAATAGAATCTACAAAAGTTTGACAATGTGATAATATCATTGTCCCAGAGGTTGCACAATACAGTCACAATACAGTCGCAGCGTCACGGATCCATACAGAAGATTTTATGTCTTAGAAGAGATTATTCCTGGGAATTTTCCATCCGGTTTCACAATTGCTCAATTTGATCTAACACTGCTTGAAATAAATACATAGTTGGTTGTACCCAATTTGATTTAACATTTATGTTATGCCAATAAAATTTTTATCATCAATCAACATCAGTCAGTCAACCTTTCAATATTAAGTCAATCCAATCGCTCTTTAGACTTAGTTTTATATACTTTTACATTACAAAGTAAACTTTACATTTACATACCAATTAACGATTCGACATACCTCATTGATTTTAAACATATATAATAAAAGCGAAGTATTTATTTTAGACACGATAGAATGAGTGTCACACAGCCGTCAGCCACATTTCAACTGACACGTTTTAAATTAATATAACTTCAAACGACTTCTGATCAGCTTATTGGTTTCAACCAACATAACCTCATTATTGAATACTAGTAATATTCTGTAGAATATTATTGAATATTAGTAATATTCCCCTTGATTTTGGTGTACAAATGAACACACACTTTGATATTTGACCACACGAACATTTTATAAAACCCTGTTCGACCTACCCCACGTGATTCTTTCCTCAACTTCTTCGACTGGTGAATATTTGATTGAAACATTCAGGAATCTAAAGTGTATTAAAGTGAAATAGGGTGAAATAAATGCATATAAAGTGAATTAAAGTGAGATACGACCCTGTAAAGCGAGTGAGAAATACAGAATAAGAGCAGTGACCAAAGTGAGATTTATTGTGAACAGGGCCCGACTTGGCTTCGTGAAATACTGAGAAGATATCCTGGCACCTGTCCAATTTCCTGGCAAGATGCAAGTGACCACCATTCTTTGACAAAATTTCAAAATACTGTGTTCATATCAATGCCCAATAGCAAAATGTTGAGTTTTTCAGAAGCATAAAACAAAGTTGCAGGCTTTGTCTACAACCTCTGCTGTTAGAGGCAGAGAATAAATCTAGCTATGTTTATAAGTAAAATTTGGTAAATATTTCTGACAAATCCCAAGCCCGGTCGACCTCTGAAAGTGAAGAAATGACATTTAATACTTTCAACACAACTATATAACAAATAATTTGAGGAAACGATGTAACAGAGTCGATATATTTTAATGTTGCCATGAGGTGGCAAGTCCCCATACATCGTGGTCCGGTAGTTTCATTGCGTCCTAATATATAAGTGAGAGAGTGAGTGAGTAACTGAACTATTTAAGTATAGTAGTACAGAGCTACTATGTGTCCTATATCCTAGCACCCTGCCTAAAAGTTCGGTAAACAGGGTGTGAGGGTGGGTGGTTACTTCTAATCCTGGATCTATATTTGCTATACAAATATATCTACTTTAACTTACCCCACTGTTCACGACCATCACTTGGGATTTTATCTACCTCTTCTGTTCGATTCTTCTCGTCATCTGTTACTGGGTTGTAGTCGGCGTCCTGAGATGAAATACCAGGTTATAATACCATTATTATCTAATTTGAACAGACTCCTACTTGTTCATATGAGTCGGTATTAGAAACACATTTTACACAACATTAAGAGCATATCATAGTATAATAATTCCATAATGAGAGCCTGTGTAGGATTTATAAAGTTATAAGAGCAGTTATTGTTTTTTTCCTTTCTTCAAAATTCAAATATATTTTACATAAATTTATCACAATTACACTTACACAAAACCAAAATATCTACAATGAGGCAACAAATGTAATGGGTATTAACTTTTCTGTTAGCAGTACTGTGGCCAGGGATAAGTGGATAAAAAATAGTTTTGAATAAATAGCATTTATAGCCTTACAGTGCGCAATAAACCAATTGCCAACTCTATCATAAAGAGCTGGCTATATTACTTCACAAACCACGACGCCTTTTTGTCAATTTTTACCGTCATTAAATTTATATTTGTATGCATAACAAAGGAGGAGGCTGGAGGAGTCAACTATAATGCCGGTTAAAGCTCATTTATACTTTATAGAGCTGCTAACGACCAGCGTTCCTATTAGAGTTTACCACAACAAACCCTTCTCTTTTCTTATAATCAATAAACTTAGAGTTTACCACAACAAACCCTTCTCTTTTCTTATCATCAATAAACTTAGAGTTTACCTCAACAAACCCTTCTCTTTTCTTATCATCAATAAACTTAGAGCTTACCTCAACAAACCCTTCTCTTTTCTTATCATCAATAAACATAGAGTTTACCACAACAAACCCTTCTCTTTTCTTATCATCAATAAACTTAGAGCTTACCACAACAAACCCTTCTCTTTTCTTATCATCAATAAACTTAGAGTTTACCACAACAAACCCTTCTCTTTTCTTATCATCAATAAACTTAGAGTTTACCACAACAAACCCTTCTCTTTTCTTATCATCAATAAACTTAGAGCTTACCACAACAAACCCTTCTCTTTTCTTATCATCAATAAACTTAGAGTTTACCACAACAAACCCTTCTCTTTTCTTATAATCAATAAACTTAGAGCTTACCACAACAAACCCTTCTCTTTTCTTATCATCAATAAACTTAGAGCTTACCACAACAAACCCTTCTCTTTTCTTATCATCAATAAACTTAGAGTTTACCACAACAAACCCTTCTCTTTTCTTATAATCAATAAACTTAGAGTTTACCACAACAAACCCTTCTCTTTTCTTATCATCAATAAACTTAGAGCTTACCACAACAAACCCTTCTCTTTTCTTATCATCAATAAACTTAGAGTTTACCTCAACAAACCCTTCTCTTTTCTTATCATCAATAAACTTAGAGTTTACCACAACAAACCCTTCTCTTTTCTTATCATCAATAAACTTAGAGTTTACCACAACAAACCCTTCTCTTTTCTTATCATCAATAAACTTAGAGCTTACCACAACAAACCCTTCTCTTTTCTTATCATCAATAAACTTAGAGTTTACCACAACAAACCCTTCTCTTCTCTTATCATCAATAAACTTAGAGCTTACCACAACAAACCCTTCTCTTTTCTTATCATCAATAAACTTAGAGTTTACCACAACAAACCCTTCTCTTCTCTTATTATCAATAAACATAGAGCTTACCACAACAAACCCTTCTCTTTTCTTATCATCAATAAACTTAGAGCTTACCACAACAAACCCTTCTCTTTTCTTATCATCAATAAACTTAGAGTTTACCACAACAAACCCTTCTCTTTTCTTATCATCAATAAACTTAGAGTTTACCACAACAAACCCTTCTCTTTTCTTATCATCAATAAACTTAGAGCTTACCACAACAAACCCTTCTCTTTTCTTATCATCAATAAACTTAGAGTTTACCACAACAAACCCTTCTCTTTTCTTATCATCAATAAACTTAGAGTTTACCACAACAAACCCTTCTCTTTTCTTATCATCAATAAACTTAGAGTTTACCACAACAAACCCTTCTCTTTTCTTATCATCAATAATCTTAGAGTTTACCACAACAAACCCTTCTCTTTTCTTATCATCAATAAACATAGAGTTTACCACAACAAACCCTTCTCTTTTCTTATCATCAATAAACTTAGAGTTTACCACAACAAACCCTTCTCTTTTCTTATCATCAATAAACTTAGAGTTTACCACAACAAACTCTTCTCTTTTCTTATCATCAATAAACTTAGAGTTTACCATAACAAACTCTTCTCTTTTCTTATCATCAATAAACTTAGAGCTTACCACAACAAACCCTTCTCTTTTCTTATCATCAATAAACTTAGAGCTTACCACAACAAACCCTTCTCTTTTCTTATCATCAATAAACTTAGAGCTTACCACAACAAACCCTTCTCTTTTCTTATCATCAATAAACTTAGAGTTTACCACAACAAACCCTTCTCTTTTCTTATCATCAATAAACTTAGAGTTTACCACAACAAACCCTTCTCTTTTCTTATCATCAATAAACTTAGAGCTTACCACAACAAACCCTTCTCTTTTCTTATCATCAATAAACTTAGAGTTTACCACAACAAACCCTTCTCTTTTCTTATCATCAATAAACTTAGAGTTTACCACAACAAACCCTTCTCTTTTCTTATCATCAATAAACTTAGAGTTTACCACAACAAACCCTTCTCTTTTCTTATCATCAATAATCTTAGAGTTTACCACAACAAACCCTTCTCTTTTCTTATCATCAATAAACATAGAGTTTACCACAACAAACCCTTCTCTTTTCTTATCATCAATAAACTTAGAGTTTACCACAACAAACCCTTCTCTTTTCTTATCATCAATAAACTTAGAGTTTACCACAACAAACTCTTCTCTTTTCTTATCATCAATAAACTTAGAGTTTACCATAACAAACTCTTCTCTTTTCTTATCATCAATAAACTTAGAGCTTACCACAACAAACCCTTCTCTTTTCTTATCATCAATAAACTTAGAGCTTACCACAACAAACCCTTCTCTTTTCTTATCATCAATAAACTTAGAGCTTACCACAACAAACCCTTCTCTTTTCTTATCATCAATAAACTTAGAGCTTACCACAACAAACCCTTCTCTTTTCTTATCATCAATAAACTTAGAGTTTACCACAACAAACCCTTCTCTTTTCTTATCATCAATAAACTTAGAGCTTACCACAACAAACCCTTCTCTTTTCTTATCATCAATAAACTTAGAGCTTACCACAACAAACCCTTCTCTTTTCTTATCATCAATAAACTTAGAGCTTACCACAACAAACCCTTCTCTTTTCTTATCATCAATAAACTTAGAGCTTACCACAACAAACCCTTCTCTTTTCTTATTATCAATAAACTTAGAGCTTACCACAACAAACCCTTCTCTTTTCTTATAATCAATAAACTTAGAGTTTACCACAACAAACTCTTCTCTTTTCTTATCATCAATAAACTTGACTCCTCTAATTCTAAATATATTTATTCCCCTTAATAAAAAATGGATATCTAAGATGGAAAACTTTCTTAGCCGCAGTACTGACAAGCAACCTGTATATTCAGCTTTGAGAGTTATTCGTGCGAAAGGTGTTGAGATGCAATTTGTTATAATTTAGCAGACTTCTGTTCTTCTAACATGAGCACTGTACAGCTCATCAAATTATTCGCTAAGCTGTTCAATTTCAAATGGAGAACAGTTTTCGGAGAATATAAATCTAATATGACTGATTAGAGATGAGAATTTGTCGCCATATCACGTCCACTTTTCTATCACGTGACGTTATATAGCAGAGTGTTAGATGTTAGAGAAGCTTTGCAGACTGGCCTGAGAGGTTCCGGTTGAAAAAAAAACGCAAAAGAAATAAATTATTGTCAGAGGAATTCAAGGGGCTTCATTTTCTTGTAAAGCTTCATTTGTTGTACATCATGAAAGTTTGGTCAGTCATGTGACAATAAATAGGCGGCATTTGATGGTAGGACCACGCACACAAAAGTTGCGATTTACTTATTTTTTTCTTCGTAGCTCACAAAGAATTTGTATTTGTTCCAAAGTTCTGTAATTTAATTTCAGCGACCGGCGCGAAAGGAGTATTACACCGACTGAGTACCTTACTCGGGATTATTACGACGGGTTTATTAACGACCGGTTAAAATATGGTTCGGGAAAAATATGGCGAAATTGCTCAAAACCCACCACATTTTCCCGGTCGCCATTTTACCGGTGTCCAACCTTTCAATTTTAGATTCAAAAATTTTGTCTCAGATGTAAATTTCCCTATAAGAGATAAGCAAGTTTAGAAATTTTCGCATTGCTAAAACTTGTGAAACAAGTCGAATTATCAATAATTGTTGAAAGTAGACAGAAATAATGACTCGTGGTTAATCAAACTAGATGGAAAATAATTTTTAACATTTGAAGCGTAACAACCAGATCGATATTAAAATAAAGGGAGAGCTGTTTAGTCTTCCAATAAGTTGTAATCATCTTCGTTATCTTCATCTGGATCATCCCTTTCATCAGTTTTAATTAATTCAAGTTTTAATTTAACTGTTACTTTTACTTTGAGTCCTATTTCATTATGTAGAGATAGTCAATACCTAAGAAATTAAAAATTGGCCTATTTTAATCAAATTTGACAATAAGGATATATGAGTATGACAAGAATTGGGCAAAAAGGTGAATTTTTTGCAATTTTAGCCAAATGAAGTCGAAAAACCTACAACAAGTGTCCCAATAGTCTTCTTTAGTGAATATAAGACAACGATTAAAATATGAGCACCCATACCCCTTGGAAACCCTAAAAACTGAGTAGGCGGGTTTATTAACGACCGGTGAAAATGTGGTTCGGGAAAAATATGGCGAAATTACCCTAAACCCACCACTTTATCCCGGTCATAATAATTCCGAGTAAGGTAAACAAATTCCAGGCAAATAATCTGTCCCAGGTATAGAAAGGTACACTTAACTTACCCTAATTTCAACTTCTAGCTGGTCATGATGAATTAAAACCCGTTCTAAATCCATGCATTGCCTTGATGGTAGAGATTCTAGAGAGTTCCCTACTTCTGCACAATCTTGCAATCAAACACAGCACAATAGAAACGCAGTACAATACAGATTCTACAGAAGTACGGCGCCAATAATTATAGATCAAAAGGTCGGCTGACTTGACAGTCTATTGTTCTCCTGGCAATGGCCCAGAGAGAGATAATTGTAGCAGTATCTGGAATTTACAGATGTATAATGTATATTGTACAGGGTATACTGTATATAGTGTGATGACGTAATCAAAGCGACTGGGGGGTTTGCCGCAAATCAAGGGTGGGAGCTATGAATACGAATAGTACAAATTACAATGAAAAGAGGCAGCCACTGTGCGGGCACTCTGGCCACACGCTGAGCATAATATACAATGTAGAAGAGAATTATTCCTTATATGGAGTAATACTGTTTAATAGCTGCAATGTGATACGCTGCATGCGGCCACTTTCGATTTACTAACGATTAGTATCAAGTGAGGGAACACTTGAATATGCGCATATCATTAGCATAATTATTTGTCAAGAGTGGTGGAATTTAATTGTTGAGTTGGATTAATGATGAGATGTAAATTAAGCTACTGCTCTGTGCTTCTATGTGTAAAATGTAAAATCCAGGACAACTATTTGACACAAAAGTGTCATTTATATCCGTGTTGCACGGGTAAACTGGTGCTCTTCTGGAGAAACTTGTGTTATTCTTGAGAACTGTCATCAATCAATGTAACACTGCTCGTGCTCATTATCTTTGATAACGTCCTTATTATATTAATGCATACCTATGTTGCAGAAACGACCATAATATTCAAACTTTTCAGCCCGATTGTTTCGGTAGAAATATCATAATATACTAAACGGTAGACACGTACATTATACGTAGACACGTAGATTATAAAGTTTAAAGTTCTGGCCTACGTGCACTTTATCACAAGTGCAAATTGGCAAATAAAATAAACGTTTAACGGCGATGATTTAATTATATTGCAAAACTTAAAGTTTGCAAGTTTTTCCGTTTTATATCCAAGGTATGTGACTTAATGTCACTTTCAGAAGCTAGAAGTCTCCACATTTTAAACCATATGGTCCGTTCTATCACCACCTTCCGCACTACCCATAATCAACACCGTGGACTCATAGATTAATTGAAAGATTTCAGTCTCGCTCCATTCAGTTTTCAGAATAGATGATAGTCTATTTCTATTTTTTACAAGTTTCTGCCGAAAATATGTGGTAATTTGTTGCTGTAGCTAAGTTACTTTTTCGAACAAGAAATGTTTTATATGGATGGCATCCCATATCATATTCAATGTTCATTATAATAATACTAACTAGGGTGTAATGAGGGGAATATAAGGGGAAGAAGGGGGAAGAAGGGGGAAGAAGGGGGAAGAAGGGGGAAGAAGGGGGAAGAAGGGGGAAGAAGGGGGAAGAAGGGGGAAGAAGGGGGAAGAAGAGGGAAGAAGGGGGAAGAAGGGGGAATGTCCCCAGGGCCCTTAAAAGGATCGTTATACAAATTTACTGAGTGGCGAGAAAATAATAAAGCTAGGAAGCAACTTAAAATAGATGGGAAATGAAATGGTCCTGACATGGCCCTTCCCAGGGCCCCTAAAGTTCACTCCACGTTGTGTCTTGTTGGGCCATAAATAATAAATTAAAGTCCATCGACATATTACTATATGGCCGAGTATGTTGACGATATTTTGTATACCTTCCTCGGGTTTACGATAACCAGGGGAGCTCCTTTTTCTGTCATGTCACCTCCTTTATCTCCTTTATCAATCAGTCGGCGGTGTTCATCTAACTGCACACCAGACAAGTTAATGTGCGATTATTATATCTCGTATCTCCGGAAAATCATATCCAGATTTGATTAGACAAAAAATGTAGACTTGATTAATGCAGACTTGATTAATGCAGACTTGATTAGGCAAATTCAATTGAAAGAATTACATGTAATGAAAAATAATGTCGGATTTTAACGGCAATAAAAATATCTGATCGACTAAAGATCTATTCTGGGTGTTCAAGTTTCGGTAAAGACAAACCTTGGGATCCGACATTGGAGACGTATGAGAGTCACCATTTTGTTGGAAATACATCTGATTTTGTCGAAGGTCCGTCTGTGACGAACGATGATATTGAACTTTACATAATCCTGCATCGCCGAATGATAGTACTTAATCTATTTTACTGTAACTAGCAAATTATTGACAAGTTGAAAGTCAAGTACAGATGTTCAAGAGGAGGACACGTGTGGTTTTAGACTGAGGTCTGAGACTTAAAGTTAAGAAATTTTTATCAAAGTTCAAACATACTCTGAATTCGGAATCAAAACATTTGCGCAAGATTTACAAATTAAATGCAGAGGGCGTGCAGAACGGCACACATTGCAACACTGCATCGACTGTCAACAAAATTCCAAATTTATTGCATAACTTTAAAATAAATTCACTTTAAAAAGGTACTTGACCACGTACTATAAGTACTAACTGCGGTCTGCGCTACAACACTGTGTTCGCACTGTGAACTGGAAACGTTGTAAAAACTACATTGATCGACAAGCAAGAAGGTCCAACTACCAACACACACACACAGCTATCTAAGTGATCATATTTCTAGGAAAGTTATTCAACGAATAGAAGAAGAATGTTGCAAGCTACATGTTTATTAAATATGCCATGATAATTAAGAGCCTAATAGCATAGTTAACCATTTTTTCATGCACTTAAAATGGTAAATTTTGCTATAATTGCTCAAATGTTGCGACCGTTTTTTATTTCCGAATTCAGACTGTTTTTGAACTTTGATGTAGATTTCTTTAGCCTAATTTCTTTAGTCTCATGTTATAAACCATATGTTTTCTCCTTTGGAATATTTATAGCTAACTTTCAACTTGTCGATACTTTGCTAGTTACAGTAAAAACAGATAAACTTCTCAACCACTTGCACTGACTGATGTGCGTCCCATGATTATGTCAAGTGTTATACCAACGTTATCTGACAGAGACACAAAGCCAAAACTTCGACAAAATCTGTTGTGTATTTCAACTGAGTGATGACTCTCATTCGTCTACCATATATTGTTATGATCGACCCACTCAAAAAAGCGAAAACAGACAATTTTTAAAACATGGGATCGACAAAAACATTCAATACGGCCAAAATATGTGATGACATGAAGCGCTGAAGCGTCAAAAAATACCTGAATTCTTCGATTTCAGTGCATACACCTACCATTCTCAACATTAAAGTATAAAAACATAATTGGCTGGATTCTGGAATGGTATGCAACGAAGTATTTTATGCTCACTGCGCACAAGCGCATGTTCTAAATTGATAGTTAATCATCATAATTAATATGAATTATAGTATCGTTTAAGCTTTCAACAACGAAAGGAGAACCACGCTCTTACCACACGAATTATGATAAGAAATGAGGTAGATTTTATGGCAGATATTATAATTAATTGGATGGAAAGTTTCGGTTTTGATAAAGCTGGATGTCGTTTGTCTAGACATCAACAAAAGAAGCCATATCAAATCCAGTTTGATATTTCAATCTTCAACTAATAAGATAAACCACGCTTTGGCTAGTATAACTGCTTATACGGACGTTTTGGTGTCGATGGTCGAGAGAAAGATCATCAAACTAAACTCTTAAGGTCAAAGCGGACAGTTGAAATTCATGATAGTAGAAACTTGGGCCTATGTTAACAAATGAACGGCGAGCAAGCAAAATAAAACGCTATAACATGCACTATCATAAAAACTGCTCGTTTATAATATGGCAAGAATATTTTAATAAAACCGTTTTGTGATTTTCATTTTTCTAACGCTGCAGAATTACTTATGCAATTGCAGTCGCCGAAAAATATTGTGTTTGAAAATTGCTTAACGGGCCAAAGAAACGACCGGTCTGGGGTTGCGGAAATGGTCGGATTTGTTAGTTCAAAATATTTTTAATAGTCGAAACGAAATGAAACAAAACGAAACAGTAATTCGTACTCCGTTTTATAGATCTAGATTGTTGAGTACGCTATATAAATATTGACCACAACATTTGTAGCATACTGCATGAATAATTTTAGGTTTATACATTTTGAATTTTCAGGACACTCAGCGTAAGATATTACGTGAGACACATCGTAAGTTAATTGTTTGTTAAACACAACAATCTAAGACCATCTTATAGAAATTTTGTCTCCTTGCTCACCAACCCCTACTATAAATCCACAAATCACCTGAGCCTCCATATTCACTGCCACCGCTCACTTAATATTTAACGAAACACCCCACAGTCGTTTCACAACTTCAGAGGAGAAATAAAATATACACCTTGTTAATTGAATTTGAAATCTATGCCTTTGCTTGTTTTCCATTTATCTCATGCTAGAGCCTCGGAAACTCGCACTTCGTTTTAAAGATCTAGATTGTGGCGTACGCTATATAATTATTGACCACACAACACATTTTTAGCATACTACCTCAAGCAACGCTGTTGAACAATCCAACCTGAAATTACTTAAAAACTGAAAATTTGACAAATTTAAAAACTTTATTACGGTATTTTTGTCTCCAAATTTGCTGCACATAAAAACATTTTTACATATGTTGCCTCTGATAATATATTAATTTCAATTTAGTTTTAGCAAAGACACCTTAGTTTTAGCAAAGACACCTAGAAACTAAACAGGAAACAAAGAAAAAATAACGAAACTGCAACAATTTGATGTAAGAAGAAAGAGTAGATCACATCAAACATCGGACAAGGACAGATCCAACAATAAAAATCATTGAATGAATCATGATTAGCCACGTTTTTTGGTCAGGATACGATTCTAAAGGCTCAGGAAGCAAACAGAGCCCTTAGTGCGAGACAAATAGAACAACTTGAAATCACATACAAAATCAAATTAACATAAATGTAGAATCGATTCCAAATTTATTTTAATTCGATTTATTATGTTATAACTGAGGTGGAAAGTTATCGTTAAGTATATATTTTAGGTGGATGACGAATAACTGTAACTTCCTTGGAAAATTATAGTGTTCAAATAAAGTAAGGACTAAGGATTATGTTTCAAATGAATGACGAATAACAATGGAAAATGATAAACCAACAATGAGTACTGTAACACCGAAAAAGAACATGTGAAACTTATCATATCTTGTATTGTGAATGCATACGCAAGCGAAAAAATATTTAATGTTCTAAATCTCCTTAAATGCTGTCTATTTAGTTTAATTTTTAGAGTTCACAAAATTAAAATATTACAGTCTTATCAACATAATCACAGGATAATATAGAGAAATGACGAACTGTTCACGACTCACAG